ATAAGAGACAGATATATACATATATATATATATACATAATGATGATGATAGTAATGATGATGATGAGAATGACGATGATGATGACCATTCTGATAGTTACGATGATGATGATGACAATGAGAAGGAAGAGATAAAGAATATGATAAAATGGACTATAAAAATGAGGAGGACGAGGAAACAGAGGGTTGAGGACAAATATGACCAATAGGGAAAATGATTATAAGGTAAATAAGAAATCACTTTGTTTACAATTCCCTAAAAAATGCATTTGTATATTAACACTACTAAAAGGTAATAAATTGGCCTTTTAGCGAATGCAAATAAAGACATCGAATCGACAATTATGAGGCCAATTTATTTTTAATATCTTAAAGACATCTTAGTAGCTGGTTATCAATATATTAGCACTATGTAAGCAGCTGCGTGCCTGGCTTAACAGAGAATACTCTGTGCTCAGTAATCGACCATTTTCATGTTAATTATTAATTAAAGTATATTACCTTGTTTCCGTCGACGATTAGCGTTGAGATTTCATTGTCCTCTTGTAATGTTATGACGTGGATATTCTGAGAGCCGTTGACATGTTCCTTCTCGGTAATAATACGGCCATGTTGTTTAAATTTTATGCCATCCTATAATGATAGAAAATAAATAATTGTTTAGGGTCATAATAAGGAAATACAGGTTTGGAAATACACCCTACATTAACGATTGAGTGATATACAAGCCTACTTTAATAGCTGTCTTACCGGTAATAACAATTTTTAATCATGTTGAAATAAATCATAATAATAAAAATAATAAAAATATGAATAATATTATGTAATAATAATAATAATAACAATAATAATAATAATAATTATAACAATAATAATAATAATAATAATAATAATAATAATAATAATAATAATAATAATAATCTGTCAAACTTAATGAAATCAAACTGTCGGTTTGAAAAAAAATATATAATATCTATATTGTTTAAATAATATTAATATGATTATTGATAATAGCAATATAGAATTTACGGCAATGAGCTTTCTACGTTAATGTATCCTAATAAAAATAATAATAAAGAATAATCGTTCTTAATATCTTCGCCAATCTTCGTCCTCGATTTTAACATCAACATTACCATAATTTCAACCACCATCATTACTTCAAAACAATTTATAAAGATATCGCAGTAAGTTGTTATTTGCTTTTTCGTTGTATGAGCCGAAAATACGTCATCTTTAAGGTGGCACGCGTTACTGTTGGTAGTTGCTCAAACAATTCTGATTGGCTGTTTGTCTCCTGTTATATTATTTGATCAATCATTTCATCCCATGTTTATTTTCGTGTTAAGTATATAATCCTTGGTATATAAAAAGCAATTAAAACGTTTCGTCATTATACTTTACCTCAAAATAGTCTTCTCCTAATTGTTGGGCATCGTTGACGTCACTAACAAGTTTGATCTTTAGACGTGGTGCCGTTGTTGGCGCATTCTACAAACAAAATAATGTTTAGAAGTCAGGAGTATTATACATCTATAATAATACAATAATAGGCCTTATAATAATAATAATTATAATAATACATTATTAATAATAATAATAATGATAATAATAATAATAATAATAATAATAATAATAATAATAATTCACATCAGATGCACGCATTTGTTTTGAAAGCTCTACAAAGTTAGTTTAGTTAGTAATCATATTTTATTTCCAATAATTATGTATTCTAGTTACATAATATATATATATATATACAAATATATATATATACAATATATATACATAAATATATATATATACATAAATATATAATATACATAAATATATATATACACATAAATATATATATACATAAATATATATACATACATTGTACATATATGGGCCTAATATATGTATATGTATATATATATATATATATATATATATCATCATCATCATCATCATCATCATCATTATTACCACCAAATATTACGGCTATGTAGGCCTATTTCTATTTTTTCCTGTAGGGGTTATTCATAATTCCTCATTATTCAATTTTATGCAGGAAATAATAACCGGATATTTGCTAAAATATTTACAGTGCAACAGTTTAGTAGTTATCACTGGTTATACATTGAAAAACGAATGTTTAAGACCTTTAAATTGATTTGGGAATTAATGTATTGAATGATGTTTGAATTACATTCGTAAACACGGAAACAGTTAAGTATTTAATTGTTGCAGTCATTGTTAATATGAACAAAACATCTTACAATTGATAAACGAGTAATTAATCCTACAAATCCATGGCATGAGAGGCCTTATCCGACAAGGGATGAGAGTAAATCCATTTCAGTGTTAAACATATTTGTCGCTTTAGATTCCCAATTTGAACACGTATTTTCGTTGTGTATAGGCTTTTGAGCGGTTGTTTCACGAACTAATGTTATACAGTATTTCTAACTGGTCCGGAATTAATTCAACATGTCTACGAACGAATTTATAGAGAAAATTGTCATTATGCCTATGTGGGCCATATATTATTGATTGATAGATAGATAAACAGAAAATTGATTGTTTGATTGATTGATTGATTGATTGGTTGGTTGGTTAGTTGGTTGATTGATTGATTGATTGGTTGATTGATTGATTGATTGCAAAACAATTACCTGATTTTACCTTTGGTGTTGCGTAAACAAACTTACAGAATACAAATACAAACTTACTGAACTTAAAACGATGTTTACATTGCAGAACACTGTTACAAAGGCAGCAACCTTCACTCCTATGTAAACCTTAAACAAAATCAAAAACAAATAATATCTGACACATAATAAATAATATACAATTTCAAATTAAGACATAAATGACTAAATATATGTTCCAAGAAGTCATACTAGGCGAGTATTGTTTTAGTTAGCACGCAGGTTATGTCGTAGGAGCTGAGGAGGAGAAGATGTTGTGGACGTCAGTGTTTGCAAAAACAAACGTGACAAATTAGGAAGTAGAATATCATCGTCATTCAGCGCCACTGAACATTAATTCATGTGATGGATGTTGACGCTATACAAGTTATTTCGATTGATTGATTGATTGAATATTGACTAACTGACTAACCGATTTACTGATTGATTGATTGATTGATTAATTTATTTATTTATTGATCGATTAATTGATTGATTGAATATTCTACATAGGTATTATTATCATGCCAAATGTGAACTTGTCAATGTTTGTTATATATATATATTTGTTTTCCATTTTAACATAGGCAACATAAACAATCTTTAGCTAGGCTTGTTATTTTGTTATATAAGTTTTAATGTTAATGTTATATATATTGTTAAATTTAATGTTTTAGTTGCATAAGCCGTTACTCATTTTTAAATTATTATTACCAACAGAATGCACATTTCCTTATACTACTCTTTTTTTAATTGGACAATAATGTTATCTTATCTTATCTTATTTCATCTGAATATACATAAATGAAATCCCGAGTTCACTTCTATCATTAACAGATTAGTTAGAATTTTATGAGAAATTTCATTTAAAAGACGTAAAGAATTGTACAAACGTCATACTACAAATCTGCGGAAAAAAAAATATTAAAACGTCAAATTTGAAAATATTAAAATAATAATAAATTTATAGAACTTAACATATGTACTGTTGACTTGATAATATTAAGCCAATAGGAAGACAATTAGAAAGTATAATACATACTCCAAGTATTGAAATACACGCCATCGTGTTAGGATTCAATATTTCGACATTAATTATGTCATCATCATTCCTGATGATGACATAATTAATGTCGAAATACTGAATCCCAACACGATAGCGTGTATTTCAATACTTGGAGTATGAATTATATTTTCTTATCTGAGATTAATCAGTGGACCTTTCGGTTTTTATGAAGACAATTGATACAGCAAATATACCTTAAGTAGTGTCTTAAAAAATACATTACAGTATATAATGAGTCGACAAGGCATCAGACATGAGTTCGACAGGAAAGACCATTTTGTAGATTATATTTCAACATTAGAATAATTATCGAATATGCCACAAGAATTAAACATAACATTCAAGTAAACTTCATTTGGTTTATATATTTAAAAAAAAAAAGATTGTGACAGCATTAATGACAAGCAATTTGGAAAATTATGAAATATGCGGTATAGATTTTGTTACTTGATCTGCAATTTTGTGCAATGGAACAACATGACATTAAACGAGGAAGCACTTACATATGATTTTTTGAAGGTAAGACGGGGATCGTGCAAGGCAGTCTACTGCGGGCCTGTATCGGGGGTGGGGGAAGGGGTGTGCCATGGATGCGTACGCTTTCTCTAAATCCCATTTGCAAGACAGTCGAAAATGTACTGAATATATTAAAATTATGTATTAATAAATATTGTAGCCGTGTTAGTCTGCTATATAAGAAATGAAAATTCTAATAGCAATTTAAAGACTAACTATATCATTTATTAGCACTAGCTTTCGTCCACACAGTGGCATTTCTAAGGTAATATGTAATGTAATATAACTTCAAAGGATATCCTAAATCTTTCTTTTCAACAAGTGTAATCTATTGGAGCACCTACAAAACTGCCATCAAATTGGCCCATCCCCTTGACCATCAGTAATTCTGGGCTACCCCCTTCCGCCCACAGTTGAACCATTTGTGCATGCACAAGCAACCACCACCACCACCCCACCCCAATGGCGATCCCGGCTACGGCCCTAACTGTCATCGTATTCAATACCAATGTAAAGTACTACTGATAATATAGCATAGGCCTATGCGCTTATATGGACCATCCACTATGAAAACATGGTGGCAAAATAAAATTCGTATAAAGAGATTTGAAAAAGTCATATTTCAAAGGGCTAGTGAACCAGCAAAGTAACTGACAATCGATCGGATACCGGTATACGTGGAAAAGCCACAAAATACCAAACTACTGAGAAAAGAAAGAGATGTTGGCAAAAAAAAGGGGGAAAAAGTAATAAAGAAGATCTAAAAAGGATACAACTGAAAACAAATTAATACATAAAACAGTGGCCCAGAACCGTATTAGACGGACGAAACCATATTTTATGGCTTGCTCTTATATGTGGTGGTTTTAAGGGGGTGGGTGGACAGAAGACCCCTAAGCTGTTCTGAAACATTTTAGGCGGCCTTATATATCAGTTATGTTGATTAAAATTTGTTTTTCTGGTTTTTGTTTTTATTTTTGTTTTTGGTTTTGTATTTTTTTTTTTTTCTTTTGGTTCCCAGACTTGTCTTGGTCGACTGGTGTGGGGGAGGGGCGGATTTATCCATGGGGGATTTATTCTACAACCCAGCCCGCTTGCACCGCCACTGGTACTCAGTCAGGGATAGCAAGGCTAAAGTTCTACTCACGGATATACATATAGGCAGTGACCAGGTTATAGCCCGATTGGATAGCTTCCATTAGCTACGATAGCAGAATACAGGCCTCAGACTTGAAGCTGCATTAACATCGGATCATCCGAACGGAAATTCGGGGACCGCGTTTCGGAAGCTCGCTGAACGCCATTGTCCCTACACTTACACACTGATTCGATTTTCTAATCGCTTCGGTAGGAGTTCCGATCCAAGGGTAGGCCTAGGCCTGTATAGGGCCAATATCTGTTGGGTCTCTCCAAACAAATAATGTATTAGTGATTACCTTAAATGTCATTTAGCTTTAATTATCTTGCCTTCTTGACGATAGGCCTACACTGTGTCCCACGCGGCAACGATAACACTCTGAGAATTACAGTGGGTTTGAAAATAACGTCGCAAAGGCATCAAATTCAATAGGGAAGTGACTACCTATTCACCCTTTTGTTTGGGATTTCAAGAATCTATTATCCGTGTCTTTCAAACATAATCTCTTCAGAAATGAGTAATTCTATACTATGATTATGATTCATAGAACAAACACAAAAATTATATTTTTAGGAACCGTGTCTAACAACCCAAGATAGTCTAGTATGTAGTGAATGTGAACATTGAACCTAAAAATATTTAATTGCAAGTTAAAAGTACAATAAGTCAAAATATTTTTATATTTATATTTTATATTTATTGTATTTTGATGTTTCCAATTTTTTAGCTGTTAATTAAGTTTAGTAAGTTTTTAATGTGATAGGCTTCTTTTTATGTATTTTCAATGTCTTGTCCTTTCTTGTTGCAATTTATTATAGGGCCTTATTAATATTTTTATGATTTTTGTAAATATTCATCCATCTCACACCTTTGGCTGCCGTTTGTATGAATAAATAAATAAATAAATGTATAGGCATATCAGCTTTCAACCACCTAATACAGAAAATCAATTCACTTTTCGCTGATATAGACTATGAAATCTGTATTAGCCCTACTGTATTAGGGGCGTATGGTTGAAGAAAGGGGGTGGGGTGCGCTTGCAGGGTGAGTGTGAACGGAGGGAGAGTCTTGGGCAGAGTCCTCTGTGGTGTGGATAAGGGGTAAATCTGAAATATTTCAAAGTGCTATTCTATATGTTCTGAGGCTACTTTTTGAATAAAATGTAAAGCTACAGGCAAAATACAATACACCCTCTGAAATATAGTTTTAAAATTAATAGAGCTATTTCCGAGCGTATCGATGCCTTTTTCAAAATATCATAGTAAAGGCTCGCTCCTGCTAATGCTTTTTGTATCATCTGCCATCAGCTAGGCCTACATCCAGCGCCCATCAAAGGACCTATATTAACGTTCGATAAATAGGCCTACTAAAGCTATTCCATGTAAATCAAGAGTAGCCGCATGTAAAATAACAGGAATAAATGCAAAACCTTGAAAGAAATTATTGAGGCTGTTAAGCCCGGCCTGTTAAATAAATAAAAATATTATTATTATTATTATTATTACTATTATTATTATTATTATTATTATTATTATTATTATTATTATTATTATTATTATTATTATTATTATCACTACTACTATTATTATTATTATTAGGCCTATTATTATTATTATTATTATTATTATTATTATTATTAATTAATTAATTAATTAAGATGTGGAAAGAAAGATTTGTTAGACAGTTTTATTTTAAGCCTACTTAATTTTTCATTATTTTCTGTGTGTGTTAGGGCCCCCTTTAGGCATATTGTGTGCAATTATTTGAGCACATTTTAGTATTATAATTTTTATTGATTGTATAGGGAAAACAAATTTCATGTATTGTATTCACTACTGTTTATGACTAAATTAGAATATCTTTCATATTTTGTTTTTTTCTTCTGGTGTGAGGGGCGGGTTTATCATTGAGAACGTGATTTATTCTGAGAGAATACAGATCCGCGGAACACTAAACTTGATAGCGCCACCAACAGTCGGCGGCGCGAAATTTACCAGCAGTCTGCTAGAAAAAGGGAGAAAATACTAAAATATTCGACAATACAGAAGCCAAACTACAGATTAAGCCTATCACAAGTGAGTTAATAATAATTTTTAAATCTTCGTGGGTCATACAAATATTGACTTTTTCCAGACCTAGGCTAATTATGCCTAGGAAAGTCCTAGGCCTAGCCCCCGACTTTTTTCTAGCCTAACCTTGGCTAAGCTCAAGGCTTATATGCTAGTTATATATAGGCTATAGGCGGGTGTCGGTCAATCCGTACCCAAACCAACCCGTACCCATACCAACCCGTACCCACTTTGGTCAAACCGTGAATTCGATCCAACTCGGCCACAAGTCAATTCGGCCACAGTCAACTCGGCCACAAGTCAACTCGGCCACAAAAAGTTTGGCTACAGTCAACTCGGCCACAGGTCAACTCGGCCACAAGTCATCTCGGCCACAAATCAACTCGGCCACAAGTCATTTACTGGTACTGAATTGTACTAATTGTTATTATTATTGCTGTTATTATTGTTGTCATTTTTGTTATTATTATTGTTGTTTTTATTACCGTTAGTTTTAATATTAATTATTAGTCTTAGCATTAACATATATTGTTCAAATTTTTGCTGATATTATTATTACATATATATATATATAGTACATATATTTATAGTACCATATAAATAATAAATAATTTTCGATTTTTTATTATTATTATTCATATTATTATTATCATTATTTATTAGTCTTAGTATTATAATTTTAATAATAGTACTTTAAAAAGTTGTTGTTATTGGCGTTTTATTAGTATTTTTCTCATATTATTATTAATATTATTGTTTTCACCTTTATTATCAATATTATTACCCTATTATTACTAAGTAGGCCTAGTATTATAAGTATCATTATTATTATTATTACTAATTAGTATTACTATTATTATAAAAATAAACATTATCTTTAATTTATTATTGTATTATTGCTATTATCACCTTCAATATCGTTATTATCACTAATTAGTTATTAAAATTGATATTTAAATATCGTTATTATTATCATACTAGTATTATTACTATTTGTTAAAATAAATATTAATATTAATGTTGTTATTATCACATTTATTATCGTCATAATGACTAATTAGTATTATTAATGTAAATATTACTAATTTATTGTCGTTATTGTTGTTTAATAATAATATTATTGTTGAAGTAGAATGTTGTGAGTAAACAGAAGACGAACACATTAATAAATAACTCTTTTTAATTCATAGGCAATAGCATTCAAATCTCTTTTGGTAGTGTGGTGGTCCTGTTTTACTAAAACATACTGTGTACTTTATTTCAATCATATATTGAAGAAAAAGGATGCAAAAACTTTAGATTTACATTAAATAACTTGTGGCCGAGTTGACTTGTGGCCGAGTTGACTTGTGGCCGAGTTGGCAGAAGCCGAAATTTTTGTGGCCGAGTTGATTTGTGGCCGAGTTGACTTGTGGCCGAGTTGACTTGTGGCCGAGTTGACTTGTGGCCGAGTTGACTTTTGTGGCCGAGTTGACTTGTGGCCGAGTTGACCTGCACCTGAAACCGCACCCAAATTTAGGTCAATCCGTACCCACGTTTGGTCAATCAGTAACCACGTCATTTTGGTCAACCCGTACCCAAAATATATTTGTATCTGTACGATCTCGTGCGGTCTGTAAGATTGTCGTTGCCACTAATATTATTAAGGTAAGTTTTCTCTCTGGGCATTTTTTTTTATCTTTCCTCATAATTTTCAATTTTATTTTCATATTTTTCTCTGGTTTTAATTTTTTATTCCTCTTTTCTTTTGTCTTTGGGTCTATTCCTTATTTCTTTATTATATATATGTTATTATATATATTCCTTATTATATTATTTATTATTTATATATATATATATGTATACATACATATATACATATACATACATATATACATACATATATACATACATATATATATATATATATATACACTGTATAATACATACATCCTGTATATACATTATATATTTATTATATATATGTATTCTTTATTATATTATTTATATATATATATATACATACATACATACATGTGTATGTATGATTTAGAGCCGAGCACCTGATGATTGAGGCTGTGCCCTCATGAAACAGTCTAGTGCAAAATACAATGTTGAGTTTGTAACCTAGTGTCTTTGATTACTTATTTATATTGTTCTACGTGTGTATTGAGCACTTTCGTCTTCATAATCTGGTTCAAACTAAGCATGCAGATTACATACATATATATATCCATACATATATACATATATATACATACATACATATATATATATATATATATATATATACATACATATATATACATATATATATATATAAATACATACATATATATACACATACATATATACATACATACATATATAAAATATATATATATATGATATACTGTATATATATATAATATATAAAATGAAAAAAAAAGTGTACAATCATTGAAAGTTGTATATACATATATGTATATACATATATATATACATATATATATACATACATATACATACATACATATATACATACATACATTATAAAATATAACTAAACGGATATTTCGATATATATTTATAATTGATACATTACATCATTTTCCATACATATAAGATGTGTATAAGAGACAGATTATAGGCATTTTTAGTCGATTTTCATAATTAAAAAATAAATAAATAAATTTAATAAAATTTGTATTAGTTTTTGTAGATCAGTTTAGTCTAGTTTTAGTTAATACTAGGCTAATTACAAGATATTTTGTATAGATATTTCAACTAGCAATCATTTTTTTTAATTTGCTGGTTTGTGAATATTTACCTAGCAATTATGACAAACCTACTAGCAAATTGCTAGTTTGCTAGTGCGAATTTTGAGCCCTGAACAGTGTTAAACGTTTGTACACATATTTGATATTTCCAAATTTATAATTATGAAGCTTGTAATGTAATCTCTAAAGCGCTGTTCAGATTTTAATCTTTTTTTGATAAAACAAAACTGTTGTATGTTCATATATAGTCATGATGTGCCTATACATGGTCATGATGTGATGTCATCATGACCATATATAGTCATGATGAGATGTGTATAAGAGACAGGAAGGTCAAACCGTACCCAAATTTATGTCAATCCGTACCCACGTTTGGTCAATCCATACCCACGTCATTTTGGTCAACCCGTAACCAAAATATACTTGTATCTGTAGGATCTCGTGCGGTCTGTAAGATTGTCTTTGCCGCTAATATTATTAAGGTAAGTTTTCTCTCTGGGCATTTTTTTAATCTTTCCTCATAATTTTCATTTTTATTTTCATTAATTTTCTCTGGTTTTAATTTTTTCTTTCTCTTTTCTTTTGTCTTTGGGTCTATTCTTTATTTCTTTATTATATATTTAGTTATTATATA